ATAGATATATTTTTATGGAAAAGTTGATCCACGATTGTTAGGGTTAAGAGTTATTGAGTGGTGAGTGCAAGGTCTTTACATGCTTAGCACTTTGAACTGTAAGAGTTTGGGATTTTTTATATTATTTTGCATATTAAATTGGTAGTTTTAAGTTAAATAATTTAGCATAATTTTATATTTAGTTCATAATAATAAAATTATGATTCAGTATTAAGAATGATAAACTTGTGTGATTTATACGTAATACTACTAGTACCAGTACCACATAAGAATTTTAAATTTTTCCTCTTACAATCTTTACTTTGTAGTAAGACCCATACTTCTGTTGTTATTGCTTTAGAATTAAAACAGTCTTAACTGATATATATAAAGTTTATTCTGATATTTTGCAAATGGTTTAAAACTCAGTGTACTAGTGGCAACAATAAAACCCATATGTTGGTTGTGAAACAGACTAAATACAATCGTCTCAATAATACAGAGAAGCTATGACATTCTCACAGTTAGGGTCTCAATACACTGAAGAGCTTATGTTTTGATTTCCAACATAAATTTTGCCTATAATGAGAGGAATGTGACCAGGACTAATCTTTTAAGTGCTGTAAAGTAATTTTCTTTGTAATTTATGGTGTCTGTATTGTTTAGTAATCTTTTCTAACAGGATGTATCAAGTAACAAGGGGTCAGGCTCAGGCAGTGTTATTCAAACCACCTGTACTGTAAACTATTACATACATTCGCTAATAGTGGCAATTAGTTTTGTTTGTATAGTGAAACAACATACACGGACATATGTTGAAATAAACTTGTTCGAAAGTTCAAAGAAATGATATTCAAGTACCAAAAAGCCTTCTTACTATCATATCTACAGTAATGTTGAAATGCGCCTGCGCTGGACTGAATGAGAGTGACCACCAACGGGCATGATAGTTTACGGCAAATGTACAAAGTTCACGCTGCTAACCTCATGATTTATTCAGCACAATAAACAAAAGTATGGCTGCAATGAAACATAAACGTAAAATAAAAATACATTTATGAAACAAAATTAAAATGTTTTTTATGTACATATATAAACATGAAATCCTAGTTAAAAATAAAAATACTCATTTGTTGTTTAGGTTTATTTACAAATATTATTTTCGGGTCTGTATATTACTTGAAACCATAAGAAGAGTACGTGATTATTAAAAAATTAAAAATAGATAAAATTTGTATTTTATGGATGATAAAAATTTTGGGGGATTTCAAAGTAATGTACTAAAACATAAAAAGTAATAAGTTCAAAGGAAAATTACATTAGGAAATGGTATTTATAAGAAATGATTACAATATTTATATTTGTTCCAGAAAGATATTAAAGATCATAATGCAAAATAATTAAATTTATCAAAGTAACAGGCTTTATGTTTCTTAAGTTAAACTACATGCATTTATGAAACTCTTATGAAGTTTCAAACAGTTTCATACACTAATTTTATTGTTGGAATGAAATATAGCAAGACTTGCATTAGCTGCTCAGAAAGTTAGTAGCCGGTGGTCATTGGGTTAAAGTTGTTTTTTTTTGTGACTCAAGTAACTTCACAATGATGATTCATCACTTGCTTTATTACTACTAGAAGAACATGGAAAGATTTAAAGAAACACTCAATTTCCAGTGAAACAATATGTGAAAATAGAATACCATATAAGTAATTAAGCTTGTTTTACATTTGCAGTAAATTATAATAATTCTGGGGAGCATGGATAGTATTTTATTTTGAACTAGAATTGGCTGAAATGTGTGTGATTTATAAGTACCCAAATACGAAGCCAAAAATATCCTATAATCTATTGTGTTTTACCATTGCTATGCTGTAATTCTTTTTGTTGTTTATAGTTTTATGTGTTATAAAAATACAAATGTAATTTAAACTGCATAGGCAACGAAAATATCAAAATTAAATAATAGGTTGAGTAATCGCGATTGTTCAACCTGTTATTTAATTTTAATATAGTTTTATTTGTCTTAACTTGGTAGATATAAATTACCTTCTCAGATGTTTATAAAATTAAATTCATGTAGAAATTAATCCATCACTTACATACAAGTTATTAGAGATTTTTCTTTACTTTTTTCTAGATAACCCATTAAAGAGAAAACTAGAGATGATTCCTCCAACCCCTGCCATCTGGAGACGAGGGCCAGGTTTTAACAATTCTGTTAATACTCCTATGTGTGTTCCAACTCCTTTGAAGCAACCATGTCTTAACTCTACCATTGGGACACCTTATCAACCAAAGTCTTCTCGCCAAGAACAGAAAATGTCATTTCACACGATTCCCTCGCCTCCTTCCACCATTCCTCTGACTTTGGAGGCTGTTTCTGAAAACGTACATGATGGCACCTATCCAGAAGAGAGCTTGGTGCACACAGCACCAGTTTCACCAGTTCTCAGCTGCAGTTGCATTGCACCTCAGTTGAATATCACACAGAATCCAGATCGGTTTAGGTATTAAATGTTTTAATACTCTTGTTTGTTTACTTTTTATGTTATACATGTATAAAATATATACTTTACCTTTAGAAACTGTCGCGTGTCTATTTATCGATATGTAGTGCCATCTATTGGGTTGAAAAGTACGTGCGTGATGGAGAAATCTTGTAATGATAGTCCAAGCCATCTAGGGGCTAGCCTTGCTGATGTGATCAGGTAGGTAGGTAATAGACTAAAAAGTTACAATTGTACAAATTTTTGAATTGTTATACTGGTAATGTTAGAGACCTTTTTAGCATATTGCTAGTATATATGCACATAATATATCATAACCAATACTTTGAATGGTTGGATTTTCACTTATGAATTCAATAGGGTGGTTTTCAGCACATTAATTATTTGTTGATCCCTACTATTAAGTACTATTGTACTTAATAATAACAAGTTATCTGTTATGTTGTGAACACATCTTACAAGTTGACAAGGCATGAGAATAATTATTATTATATTATTAAGCCTATTTTATTTTTAAACATTACATTCTTTTTCTAGACCTTTTGAGAATTTTCAAGAATTAGAAGAGTGTATAATAATAATATTCTAACCTCATTATACTTGTAATATCCACTATTGACAATGTGTGCCAGTTAATCCAGAGCTCTTCTGGCCAGCTGGGTTACAAAAAATGCAATAATAGTTGGAACACTATTAATATAAGGCATTTGTTGTTAGTAAAATATGCATGAAATGCTTTTAAGTGTTTGAAAGAAGAAGATGATTTGCATTGAATGTTTTGATTACTCTAAAATGTGTTGGTTTTTGGTAATTTCAAGAGCTGACTGTCTGAAGTAATTGAAAAAATACTGATAACAGTTTCTTATTGGAGTTTAAGCACAACAAAGTGAAAAATATTTATTAATTATATGCATCTTCATGTTTGATGAAAAACAGTACAAATATCACCTGTGGCTAAATGATGTAATGAATTTATGAAATAAATTGCTTCAGATCTTGTAAGTAGGATACATAAGAAATATATTATTCTGAAAAGAAAAACAGATAGCGAGCCTATACTAAAGTTTTTTTTTATATGTATATATTCCTAGTCCCTTTGCGAGAAAACTGTACAATGTTGTCGAAGAGAGCGTGAGTGAGAAACTTGAGGAACTAGAAGCACGTTTAATAAAGAAACTTGGTGAGAGAACAAAAGTGCCTAAGGTCATGGAGAAAAGGTGTTTAAAACCATTGAATCTGTCTCAAGAAACAGCAGTGCTCAGAATCCATAAAGAAGCTGAGGAAGCTCGATTTTTTCCTTCTCCATTCAAAGGTATTTTTGTTTTTAGCAATTATTTTTGTGAGGGGAAATAGATGGAAGTCTAATTATATTTGTTTATTAAGGTATTTTCTTGGAGTTCTAAAATTATCTATCAATTTAGCAATATTTTAATATTCTGAAAACAGACTTATCTCTTATTTTGATCATTGTCTGCCCGCTAAGCATTGCAAAAAATTTTTAGTAATCAGAACTGTCAGTCTTTATCCCCCTCCATTTCTGAACATGTAAATGTCATGTGACTACTTTCCACCAATAGTATTGCACCACCTATAACAGCGCAACTAGCTCCCTCTGCTATTCCCGCCCAATCCCCACATTCTCGATCGGTATGACAAAGTTTAGACCTATGTTTAATTTTTCAGAGTATAACTACAGTTTTTGATTGTGCTATGTTACCTTTCAGTCGAAATTTAATCTCAAAAGTTGTAATTTTCACATTTGTTTCCAATTGTTTCTACAATTTGCATTAAAGTAAATTCTAGTTTCCGAATTCTTTGTCTTTAATGTGAATTTGAGATTTAATGTGGCAGACAAATATTCCTTTCATAGACGACAACACAAATGGCATGACTTCCCACGACATGGGATCAATTTTATATGCTGAGGAAGTTCAAGCCTTGGTTTGTAGGCATTTAGAGTTATACATTCTGCCAGCGATTTCTTCTCCTTGCCCACCAGACCATGTTTCTCAGGAGATGTACCATCATGAGGAATAAAACTGTCACAATCTACTACTGTTCAGGACATTTCTTTACCCACTCCCTTCTTACAACTTGTCAATCAGTTATGTTTTTCCTTTTTCTCCAACATTAGTTTTCTTTCTCAGAGATTTTCTAACTACAGTTGGGTATATGCATGCCCTGCCCCCACATGTATGTTGGATCAACATGCCTTGACTTATCATCGTGCCTTGAATCCCTTATTAGATTCTTAGCATTTAGATCCTCTCTTTCCTCTGCAGGGCTCCTGGCCACTTCAATCAGGCACCATTTTATAGGATTTGCCTTTCCCTGACCTCACTTTTATGCTACACTTCCTCCCTCCAATTAATGTCTGAGGCCTTTCATCAATCTCCTGATGTCTTTCCAGAAGAGCTCAAGACCCTCCTTTGAGTCACCATGGCTCATTTATTGGCCTCTGCCCTTTCCATCAATTCCTGGTTACTTTGATGTTGGGACTTGTTAGGGAGGGATGCTTTCCTGGAAGAGTATGTCTCCTCCTTTCCTCCCTATGAAATCTCCTTATCCTCCCTAGTCACATATTTGTATTGTCCTCCCATAACCTCCCAGGATTTGCCTATCCTGGTTTCCCACCTTCCTTTTTCCTCACTCCATCCTTTACCTTCCTCAAGGCATTCCTGTCCCTATCCTCATTTTACCCATGCCTGTTTGGACAGACACCAGTGTTATAGATGACACAATAGGGGCTCCCTGTCCTGTGGGGGCCAGATTGCTCCACTTCAAGACAGATCAGAAGGTTTGGTTCTGTCAGAAGGTTTCTGCCTTTGGTTCCAGTTTCCTCCCCCATTCTCTTTTCCTAATTTCCTTTCCTCCTTCTCGGGATCCTTCCTCTCTCAGTCATCTTGCCAAGGCCATTCAAAACCTCCTATGCAAAAGAAGCTATCGAGTGAGTGGTTCCCACTCATTCAGGTTTTTATTCCCTTCTCTTTAGGATCTCCAAAAAGACAGGCAATTGGAGACCAATTATTGATCAGTCCAAACTGAATTCCTTTCTGGAGCCTCCTTGCTTCACCATAGAGTTTTATCTCTCACTTTGGTGAATGTTTTTCCTGAGACTCTGGGTGACCAAATTCGACGTGATGGATGCCTATCTTCACATTCCCATTGTTCCAGAGTCATGTCATTTTCTTTGGTTCATCTACAAGGATCAAGTATTCCAGTTCAGGGTACTACTGTTCAGTCTCTCTTCAGCTTCTTATGTGTTTTGTCGAGTGGTTTGCTTGTTTGCTCGTTACCTTCACTTGTTGGGACTTTGCACTCATCATTATATGGACGAGTGGCTCCTGCTCACCTATTCCCATTTGCAGTCAGTGAATCACGCATGTTTGCTCTTACAGGAAGCAGCACAAATGGGTTTTCTGATCAACTTGAAGAAGTCTATTCCTACTCTCACTTAGTATCTAGTTCATTTGGGGGTTTTCTTCAATTCACACCTCAGTCGGGCCCAGTCTTCTCCTCTTTATCTCAGAAATATGGAACAGGCAGTCACAAAGGCTCTTACCTCTCCTTCTCTCATGGCTCGAAAGATTCTATCTCTTTTGGGGATGTGGGCTTCCTTGGAAACTCTCATTCCTATGGGTCATGGTTATATGTGTTCATTTCAGTGGACACTTCTTGATCAGTGGAACCTCTCTCTGGAAACCTTGGACCATCCTGTTACCCTTCCATCTGTGATCAGGGTGGACCATGCCTCCACCTCGTCCAGAATTACATCTATCCACAGATGCATCTTTGTTGGATTGGGGAAATTTGTGGTTCTGAGGTCTACAGAAGAGTATACACTCCACATCAACATCCTCAAGCTTTTGGTAGTCTGATGGGCTTTGACCCTTTTCCTTCCACTCCTGCGAGGGCGAGTGGTTATGGACTACTTCGACAATTCCACTGTTGTCAATTATATCACCAAGCAGTGTGGAACCAAATCCTGATTTCTATGTTTTCAGACTCTGGATCTTCTTTTCTGAGCCCATGATCACAACATGGTGGTGTTAGCTTGCCATGTTCCTGGAGCTTTAAGTCTGGTTGCTGATCGTCCAAACCAGGTTCTTTCCATGCAGTGGTCCCTTCATCCACTGGTTTTTCAGTGGGTGTGTTTTCAACTGGGGACACTGCTTATCGATGCCTTTGCCACACACTGGAACATCAAACTTTCTTCCTTTTGGTCTCCTGTTCCACACCCATCAGTTCTGGGTGCAGACACGTTCAGGATTGGACAGGTCTTCACATCTATGCCTACCCTTCAACCCGACTCCTATCCAAAGTTCTATTCCTCATCCAGACCACTCCTTGTCCTGCTGGCTGCTCCATATTGGCCTGCACAGTCTTGGTTCCCTCTACTTTGGCCTTTACTTGTGCAAAGTCCCCTGCCCTTACCTCTGTCTCCTCGATCAGAAGTTGCTTATCCTGACATCACCAAAGTCCACTTGGCTTTTGTCTGGTCCCTTGCCTCAGCCCAAGGACTTACTCCTTGTATAGCATCTTTTCTTTCCCAAATCATCAGACCTTCTTCCTTGAACATTTACCAAAACTATTGATCTCTTCAACTGATGGGTATAGAGACAAATCTTACATCTAACAGAAGCAGGGAAATTTAAGAAACTTACTGGATAGCACAATTAAATACTGTAACACCAAATTGCATCAGTTTAATGTTGACCTTCGTATGTTTCTGAAAAAATTTTCAAAACTAAATTCACAGTTAAACTAACATTACATTATTAGTATTATTCATGCTTTAATTTCTCTGTATTGGTATTATTTCTTATATATTGCATCACATTATCATTTTCTTTACTTCCCACCACCTTTTGCCATTATTTTATTTTTAATTTTATCTTAATAAAAATTGGTTAACATTTCTTGTAACTATTATCACACTTTAAGTTTTAGGTCTCATTTGAAAACTGTTACAACTTTTGTATATGATCCCCTGTGCACAAAAAAGCTAATATAGGTTTTGTGATAAACATGATACAAATCAGAGTTAAATTTCTAATGTATTGTTAATTCAAAAACCTACATATATTCCCTGTGTAAAAATGCCATTACATGTTTTGTGACAAACAGGATATGAATCACAATTGAATATCTTATCTTATGGTTTAAAATGTTTATTCCCTAAGTGTAACTTGAAGCATAATTAAAAGTTTTAAGTTACATTATGATCATTTTTTGTCTCAAAATAACTGTTGTATCTTAACTATAATTTCTTGTTGCTCATGTTTTGAACTAGTACTATTTCTGACTAAGGAGGTCATGATATTTGGTTTTGATTAACCTTTGTAGTTGTGTTTACATATATATATCTTTCTTTGTAATCATTTGTACTTTTTATTCTGAAACTGTGCACTAACTGACTTCATCATACCATTTAATCTGATTAAAGTTAAATTTGATTATCTTATGCTTGTGTAGTAAAGAAGAGTATTATTCAATTATCTAAAAGTGTTTCAGATTTGTGTAGGGATTACTATTTTATGATCTAGTTTGTATGGGGGTAGTGACTTGTTTGATTATGTATCTATGCTTAAAACCTATGTAAGGGTAGAAACTGTTGTTTGATTATCTAGTTATGCCTTGGAACTGCATAAGATTGAAGTTTTACTTAATTATCTCATCTTTTTGTGCGGTTAAAGTTATATTATGCCTCGGACCTGAGTATGGACAAAGACTTACTCGATTATCTAGCTTTACCTCAGTTTTATGTGTGGTTAGAGTTATTTTGTGCCTCAGACTTCAATATGGACAAAAACTTACTTGATCGTCTAGCTTTACCTTGGAACTTTATGGTTGAAAACTATTATTCCTTTATATAACATAGTCTCAGATCTGTGTGTGGTTAAAAATTATTATTCAGTTATTTATGTATCAGACATCCATAAGGTTAGACTATTGTTCAATTATCTATTTTTACATTAAGCTTGTAATGTGAATACCTCTTTTTAATAGTTACAGTTAAGTATAATCAGTTATTGTATTAAACAAAATAATTCAGGTAAATGTTTGTTCATGATTTTACGTATGTAGAATAAACAGGTACATTAGGTTTATGTCAGAACCAGTTATGTTTCTGTATGCTCAGAATATTGTCTGTCTGACTTTAGGTTTGTATACCATTCTTATTAAAAGTGGGATGTTATATCAGTCTACAAACACAGAATGTAAAATTTGTTACTAATGGTGTGGAGTTTTGCATGCTTTATGAAAATGAATGAAATTTTAGAGTTTTAACAAAAATCAGTGACAGAATAATTTTGATTGGTACAAAATAAGAATTAAAGGGGGTTAAAAAGAACACTTCCATGTGTTACTCAGCATTCAAAGCACACGTTTTAGTTTAACAGTCTAATTGTCTCAGTAGAAGCAAGACCTGCAATTGTGTTAAAAGCCAGTAAAAAACATACTTGGTTAGATTTTACACATCAAAAATTTGAAAGATTTCAGAAACAATAGATGTTTACTTCCTTCTAGAAGTCAGATAATAAAAAAAGCCATAATTATTAAATGATGAGTTTTATACGAGGTTTTTACCGGCCCTTGGAAACACTGAAATTTGACTTAGTAATTTCAAGGCTTTGAAAATTTCAATTTTGTGGGAAAAGTGTTTGATTTTGTCTATGTGATGAACTGAGTAAATATTTACTGAATATATATCTTTAATTTAATGTAGATGCCTCAAACGTATTTATTATCTGAACATGATTCATGGCATTTTTTTTAAAAGACAGAAAAAAATGAAATAAAAAAGTATAAATTTAATATTAGTATGCAAATGTTGTAAATTTGGGTCCTTGAAAATTATGGTAAAAGTCCTTGAATTTTGGAACGGTAAGGTTGTGTTATGATCCACACCACATCTAACTTCTGTAAGTCTTGTTTTAACTTTTTTTTAAAATTTGTATAGGTATTAATGACATTGTCTTTTTTTCAACAGATAGGAGTAATGTTCTAATCGAAGAATCATCATCCCCATTTCTCAAACCTAAGAATCCTGCTCCAAAAAGATTGGCAAAACTGAATTCTGTGCTGCAGAAAGAAACTTTAAAGGAGAATTCCCTGTTGTCGTTTTGTGTGTTTACTGGATCACCAGACTTAAACAATCCTAATCTTCACTTGCCGATGCAAGTACCAGAAAAAAGACGATCTACCCGTCGTTCTGTTTCTACTGCCAGGTTTTGTGAAGACTTTCAGCCTAAGAAGAACCCAAAGCAGAGACGCAAAAGCACTTCAGTTGGTAAGGAAAAAGAATTTTCATTATTTGTTTTTTAAGTAATGTTATTACAAAAATAATGGATACAGGCAGTTGATGGACAAGACAAGTATAACTACCAAAAATATTAGTACAGATTAATTTGTGATAATGATTATTTTAACATTATTTAACCATGTAGAAATCATAATTTTAGATTTAAAATACAGTTTGTCTCATCAATTGTGTTATAAAAAAATGTAATTTTCAAAACTGGCTCTGTGTTAGGGATTTTGTTTTTATCAGAAAAATTAGGATCTCTTTTATTGTCATAATTTTTACACCTTGACTGTATTTTCAGTTACAAGATAGGTGTAGTACTACTAATTTCACTATAATAGAGCTACTTGTGGAACTTTTCAGTTTCCAGTTCCAAACCCAAAAGAGCTGATATGAACAGTGAACAACCCACTAATATTCTAATAGCTGCAAACAAGAATCTGCAGGAGAAACACAACTCTCAAGTCTTGGATCTCTTGAATACAGGATCATTAAAACAACTACAGAGTCTGCCATGTGTGGGTCCAAAGACAGCTCAGGTAAGAAAGATTGATGAGCTGTGAAAAAGTGCAGAGAATAAGAAGCATTTTTATTTTCTGTAACATTTTTCTTGTTCCAGGAAGTAAAATGATTTTTAAATATTTTGGAGAATAACATACAAGGTTGATATATAATCTTTGTGTATGAATAAATTTATATGATTACAAGTTTTGAAGATTCAAGAAGAAGAACAAGCTGAATAATAATATCACCAAAATAAAAAACTTCTGTTGGGCAATATGATGTATTTTTTATGTATTTTATATTAATATTTTTTATAATGTTATTTATTCATTCTTAATAATAATAACAAAACTAAATTGTGACTATTATATCTTTTTTTTTCTGTTAGCATTCTTGTATTCTCATATAATATATCACATTTAGAACAGTTTAAGTAATTATCTGTTGCACCAATAGGCTTAAGCAAGGCGTGGCAATGAGTGGTTGCTCTAAATGTCACCCAATCCAACATGTTTTTTCTTTGACATTATACTGCTCATTTTTCTTGTCCATTTATATGTTTAAAGTGGACTACACACACACATTTTCAGTACTTAACTGTGGTACATTTCTGCCCTTAGCTTTTGAACTTGCATGTTTTAAGTTTTAGGTGGTATCTAACAATCTTTGAAGTTTTTTATAGGAGAGAGAATTAAAATTTAAATTTGTACTTAGTATACTTCAGGTTTCACTTGTAGTATAGTTGAACCTTAAGATACTTCTTGGAGGAGGGGGGAAACAGTTGTTTTTTCACTAATTAGTTATGTACAATTTTAACTTTAATTGTTTTCCAATAAGCAGACTTCAGAAACAAATCAATACATATTTTTCTTGACAGGTTCTCATCACATGGCGAGAGTTGCAAGGATTGTTGGTAAGCCTCAAAGACCTGAAGAAAGTCCAAGGACTTCCTACAAATTTTTATCATCGATTTCTGAGAACAAACCTTTTGACTACAAGTCCATAAACTTGCTCTCTGCTTTTACCTTCACCATGTGTACAAAAATGTTTTTCTTTTCTGTATACTTGTATAACTGCAAAATGTTTCTAACATTTGTATTCAGTGAATTTTAATATTATGTTTTGTGTACATATTCTAACCCTCTGAGTATCAAACACACTTATGTATTTGGCACCAAGTATCTGATGTTGGGGCTATAAAACCATCAGTAGGTTCATGAACTCACTACATAATTCATGGTTTATCTTTCAACCATCTACTTCAAAATGTTTGTGTAGTCTACAAAAATTGGACAGAGTTACTTCTTCACCATTCTCCAGATCAATAGTAACAACCTGTTAAGTTCTCCTTCTATCATCATCACATATATTTTGGTGGAAAGTGAATTTAATTAGTTGATAATAGAAAACCAACTGCAAATCCACCACTCAACAAAACTGCTTTATACATCTTAGGACATGTTTTTTCTTTCTACTTTAACCGTACAAACTAATTCATCAGGAAGTGTATAAAAAATAAACTTCTCTATTCTGACACTTTATATCTATTCTACCATACTCTTCATGACTAATGCTTTTCTCAGTTACATGCCATTTGAGTGAATATTTACAAAATGTAAGTGCATATGATGTTGAAAGGGCTGAGTGTGTGATGTTTTTATAATGCCAACATCACTTTTATTGAAATTATGTTATTGTCATTAGTCATAGCATTTGTATGGGCAATGTATTATTACAGCATTTATATTGTAATGTCTTTTTTACATCATAAAAGATAACAGCCACTACAATGAAATATGGAAGCAGTTTAATCTATTGTCTATATAATTAGTATATACATTCTATATGTTCTTTTGATTTGGATCATAAGTGCAAAAAATTAACATTGATAAAAGTCATTCTTCACAAATTTTTTTTAATATTCTAAAGTATGAAATTAAATATATTTCCTCAACATTTTAACTTAATTATATGCTATTTCCATGAATGAAACTTTTATTTAGAAAATTTGCAGACTGATAAATGGTTGGTATCAATATGTGAAAATTATGCTTTGTTTTAGAAAATGCTAAGTGCGAGAGGATCAAAGTATACAGGGTAAATAAAGCACAGAATAACTACTACTGTTAAATATTGGGAACTTTAGATTTTTCAGTGAGGATAAAAAAACTACAGTCACACACCATTCTTTTTACTTCTATAATTACCACAACCAAGCAATAATACAGAATTGAAAATAGAAAAAATAATTTACTTCCTTACTTCTTTTTATCTGTATAATAAAATAATTATCTTAATATATATTAGAAAAAGTATGAACTAATACTTTAATGTTTAGTTTAAAGACACTGATCTGATAATGGATTCAACAATTAAAAGAACTTCAACACTACATCTCTTCAGATGTTTCATATAAACAGTTTGTTCTTCAATAACACTTTAAAAGAGTTGACATCCTAAGGTGTCTTTAGTTATATGAATTAACTCATTGAAATCATGTTCATTGCAGTTATCAACATTTTACTTATCAAACAAAATATTTTTTGTACTTTGTTCCTCGCAAACAAAAAGATATTGCATATTAAAACTCTGAAGCAATTATCTACTATTTATTTATTTATTTTGGAATTGCTAAAAGTCAGATGCATTATTGTTTTGCATAACCTTTTGGGAAGTATAAGTTGTCATAACAAGGACTTGAATCTCCTAATGCCAGTGAGGCTTCAATATATGGCAAAATGAAGGCACAGTGAAAAAAAACAGTGACCAATGAACATTAATCCTGACCATGAACTATGACATATACCATAAAATAGACTGGCAGCCCTATATTTTTTTTCTCCCTGAAGCAGAGCTATAAGTAAAAAGTACTGTTTAGAAATGAAGATGTTCATGAGTAAGTGAACAATGAATGTAATGAAAATGCAAAAACTTCAAATGCTATAAAAAATAGTTGATTAAATATACCATTATTGAAAAGGCTTGCATGAACTAGAGTATAGTATGTGTATTTGACTGAGGAAAAAAAAATTCTATAAAATTACTAAAATATACAGAATCACAGGCTAAGAAAATAATTACATATGAGGGTTGTCCCAAAAGTTTGTAGCCTGACTTGGAAAAAATATGGAACGTATGATAATAATTTCTAATAGATAATTAAGTTTTAAACTTTTTATCAGTAAACAGCATGTAACATGTATCTTAATGAGGTTATTTTGTGTGTTGCAAATGTTTGAAGGAAAGAAGTGGACAGTGTTAAATGCCATGGAGAAAATCGAACTTCGTGCAAGAAATCCACTTGGACATGAAAGCAGCATTAGATGAGGGTGCTCCAGCATATTCAATAGTGTTAGAAATTGGTGTGCTGAGTTTAAGCATGATAGGCAATCATGTGAAGATGATCCTAGATCACATCAGCCCTCTATATTGCCCACAGCAGAAATTGTAGATAATGTTCATAATTTGGATGTATACATAATAGAAGAATTACCATTAGGAAGTTAGCAGAGAAAGTGGGAATTGGTAAAAGTACTATAGCAAGCATTTTGAGTGACAGTTTGGGCATGAGTAAGGTTAGTGCTAGATAGGTTTGAAAAATGTTGTCATCTGAGCAGAAACAGGTCTGAGTTGTTGAAAGCTAACATCTACTTCAAAGGTTTCAATAAACTCGTAAATATAGATGAAATTTAGGTTCACCACTTTGACCCAGAGACAAAAATGCAAACATCCAAGTTCATCCACCCCAAATTGTTCAAGTCACAATCCTCTGCTGGTAAGGTGACAATTTTGTTGGAATGCTAAGGGCATTTTACTAGTTTATTATTTGGAAAGGGGTCAAACTGTTACAGGAGATTATTATGCATCCTTAGTCAACAATTTGCATCAAAGAAAAAAAGAAAAGGATTGCTCAAAAATGTTTGCTCTTCTATGAGAACAATGTCCCAGCTCACAAATCACGTACTGCTTTGAATGCTATCCATGATGCTGACTTTGAATTACTCAATCACCCCCATTAATCATCAGATTTAGCTCCAAGTGACTGTTTTTCTCTTCCCTAACCTTAAAATCTTTCTGAAAGATCAAATATTTCAAAGTGATGATGATTTCATACATATCATCCAGTTGTGGATTGAAGACAAAGGAGAAGATTTCTTTCAGAAGGGCATTAAAGCCTTAGAGCAAAACTGGCACAAATGTATAGACTCAGGAGGAAACTGTGCTGAAAAATAAGTCATAGTTGAACCACTGTCTTTTTCTTTATAGGTTGGGCCAAGAACTTTTTGGACACCTCTTGTAATATTAAACAAAAGTATTTGTGGTTTCCATGCTTTGAACAAGAAATATGTTAACAATACAGACGTTACCTTAACATACAATCTATACAAAAGCAATTAATCATATGTAATTTTTTCCCATAATTTTTATTTATGTTGTATTTATTTTGAACATGTAAACTACCTATCTTAATCAACACCACATACTGGTCCCTTTGTTTTGAGGGTTGCATAAGCTGCACTGAAATTCTAATCGTTTACAACAGACTGGAGAACAAGTAATGAAATCAACAGTTCAACATCACATACATTATATCTGTCAAATAAATCTTATTGGTGATAACATTTTCTCTTCTGTAATTAGAAAACAACTGATAATATAACAGGAAGGTTATGTAGAGATGATTATCAAAATACCAAGTTCAGTGAGCTGATGTTTTAAATTGAAGTTTCTTCTTCACATTAAACTGCTTCAATATGTATGGCAAAATTTTATTCTATATTAAGTGTGCATAAAAGCTTAATTTTTGCCCCACTTTCTTCATCTACACAGAAACAAGTTTATACTAAAATTGAAAATATAGAAGCAGAAAATAACTATTACTTCAGAAAACTGCAATTAAGAAGTTAAACCTTGTACATGTTGGATGAACTTAGATATTGAGCATACAGTTTTTTGGCTAAACTGAAGATCTTAATAGCTTTTGAAAACCTAAGTTAGGTCTCTTACATTATTATAAGGGAGATTTCATATTATGCGTCGGTCATTTTTTTTCCGGCCCGTCCCACATACTAAGTACTACCGTGCTTAGTGATAATCTGTATCAAAAATATACAGGGCGCAGACAATAACATTATAAATTTTACTAACAAGTTCACATTGATAAACACAAATGCACACGACATTACAGGTATAAATTGTAATCTATTCAAAGTTTATTCTAAGTGGACTAAGCAGAAAATAAAATAATTTATTCTACAACCTAAATTTAAGTAAATTCATTATTAAAGAAAGGTTATCTTGGGACATGAAAAGTTGCTTTCTTCATAAGTAATTGTAAAAGCGCCCATAAAAACGACAAAACACAAAATGTGAAACCGCAGATTCGCATGGACCTAATGAACATTCATACCAGTCTTGGTGAGGGTCCATTCACATCATGCGAAGTAGTTACATGGACAGACTATTATTATATTTATGTAGATTCAGTAAAGATTTCAGTTTATCACCGTTAGAGAGCTACAGAGTCTCATTTCAAAAAAGAAAAATAAGTATTAAAAATATAATCAAAGGAGCTATAAAAGTATTCAAGATTATTAATACTACACTGCACGAAGAGTGACAATATAAATCTCGCCAGCATTCTAAGTAAATTTTCTGCTGAAGGTAGACAGGTGCGTTCCTTATACGTTTATTGTAATTTGTAAACGCATGATGGTACAATCCTATTTGCTATCTCATATTCAAGGATACATTTATTGAGTTATTGTTGCCCAATACACTATTCAATTTATTATTTCTTATATACATATTGTTACGCCTCCAGTCGTTAGTTAATTTTCCATAAATTCGTTCCGACGAAACTTTAGCGACACAAGTCCTTTCTTAAATAAAACTGGTTTATTCTTTCCGAACACAACTTTACCGATACACTTAATTTCAACAGTCGCTCTATAACAAACGCTAGAGCGTCTCACGTGCTCGTGCTCGACAATACTCAATTACACACTCTCTGACTGCAGTTCAATTACTCATTACCTACACACACATTGTCCCGTCACGTTGTGACCATCTTATATATACCAGCTACCCCCAATCTAGTAATCTCCCGAAGGTTCGAGAAAGAAGTGGCGTGATACTAGTCACGTGACTTCGCTGACGCAACACTGCCTCCTTAGTATTGTTCGTCCCAAACAATAGCCACCAATAACAATTAACAATAACTTAATTAAAATGTACAGAATTACAAACACAAAATTACAATTCAACAAAGTCTCTTAATTTTACGGGACATATCTTCTTCCGTACTGGTCTCCGTCTCGTTGGCTTCTGCTTCATGTGGGATTCATCTGCTTCATCAGGAAATGCCCTATCATCGGTAACAGTCACATCAGTGGTAGTAACTTTATCAAGAGCTTCACCGTTTCCCTTCTCAAAACTGAGTAGAGTTTCTTCTTGGACGTTTGCTTTTTCAGGTGACACATCTTCAGCAGCGTCATTTGTTCTGTTGTTCACTTCGTACCAACTGAAATGTCCTGGATCATGATAACGCCAAAGCCTGTTGGCATGCACCACTTTTGGCTTACCTCGCCGACCTCATTTGATTCGGAAAGTCACGTCTGAGAGACGATCCACTATGTCATATGGGCCTTCCCATGGAGAAGACAACTTAGGAGACTTCCCTTTGGTCTTCCTGGGATTATACAACCACACCTAGTCTCCTGGTTCAAAGCTGACTTCAGTAGATCTCTTATCATAAGTTAACTTCATCGAATCAGCAGACGTTTTCAAG